AGCCTTGTCGTACTCCTTTCCCTATTTTGAACCAATCTATAGGTTCTACAAGTTTCCAAATTTAAAAAAAAAACGTTCAGAACCTAAATTGAATTTGATCAACTCAGAAATAAGTCAGCCTTTCCTGTTAACTGCAGGAAGGAAGGACAGAATTCTAATTTTCTATTAAAATCCAAAGAAGCTATGGAAACATATCTGCCCCTAAAAATGTTTAATTCACATTTGAATGCAAGCATAACTGATTTCACATGGTTGAATCTTGAATCAATTCAGAAACAAAAACTTAATTCTGGTCTCTGTGATTCATAGACATCAGTTATATGCCTGTTCAGAGTTCCATTCAGAACCCTCTGCTTATGGAATTGTTTGGTGGGAGCCCCACCCATGTATACACCATGCAACTAAGAGTGACTTCCACTGAATCCCTTTTCTGTTTTCAGCACATGCATCCTTGAACTGATTCTCCTTCATAAACATTATTTATGCTTTTCCCCCTTGATTTGTCAATTTTATCTCAACTCTTCTTGAAATCTCCTTAAAGCTGTTCGTTAAGATAACTTGTTCTCCCATTGCAGGCATCTAGCTTTTGGCTTCATGACATTTTACAAGTGCTAGTGAAGTAGAAGCAAACTTCCTCCCTTGTATGGGCATAAACTGTGCCTTTTTTGCCTTGGCAAAGGTCACACAGTAGACTCTTTTAAAAACTGCCAGGCATTTACTGAACAGGCTGGTGGCAATCATTCTTCTTGTATGTGACATTTGTAGGAGGAGAGCTGTGTTAATCTACAGTATAGTAGTAAAAAATCAGGAGTCTGGTAGCACCTTTTCAAATTAACAAATGTTCTTAAAAGGCAAAAGGTTTCATGAGTTGCAGCTCACTTCATGAGATGCGCAGAGTAGCTAAACTGATGTAGGATTTAAATTAGGGGAGTTGTGGGGAAAGAGAAAGCAAGTTGATTAGGCAGATGCAGATTACATGTGAGACAGATTACTAGTATCTTATCAATTAACAATTGTAATATGTTAAAAACCCATTGTGTTTGTTGAGATCTTCTGAGATTGTCTGAAACCTTTCAGTAGTTTTTTGCTCAATGGTGTTTTTAAAGCCCCATTTTCCCAAAACAGTCATTTTGAAGTCTGCCATAGAGTTTTCTGGGAGGTTAAAATGTTCTGATTACTTTGCCTTTTTTTGAGTCCTGATGTCAAACTTGTGCCTTTTAATTATTTTGTATAAAATTTGTCCCATTTGTCCTACATGGAATCCAGAGGGGCATTCCTGAAAGATGATGCCATATATTACATTACAGGGATGATCTTGTGTGTATACTTGTTGGGGCTGTGTTGCTGCTGCTGGGGGCAAAGTAGACATCTGGGTTTTTTGCAGGGTCTGGTTCCCACAATAGCATGGCCTCAAATTCTGCCAGCTAATCCTATCTTGGACTGACTACCTCAAAGGCAGCCTTTTCAGGTATCACAGTCTTGTCCTCAGGATTCTTCTCTGCTCCAGGGCATTTCTTTAGGCAGATTTTGTTCAATGCCATGGAACCATAAGATCCATTCTGTTTATCCTCCAGGAGAACTCAATGCCGATCTCTCTGTATCGGATAATTATGCATCTATGCCTCTTTCTGAAATCTCCTTCAATATTCACCCAATGATCATGTTGAGGATCAGCCACTCAGCTTCCATTCAGAAGTCCTCTATTCCAAGAGCAAGCCAATTGCTAGAGTGGCAGAATCCCTTTGCCATGAGGTTCAACAGTTTTCTCAGTCAGTTAAAGATCCAGTATATTACTTAGTTCATGATATCATTTCACCAGCCCTCATTCAGATGCTTCCAGTCTTGCTGAACACAGCAATAGATTGCTGGGGCAAATAAGCTTCTATGCCATCAACTTCTCTCTGTTCAAAGAATCTTTTAATCTTATTCCAATATGCACCACCTAACTCTGTTATATGGAGGTATCGTAATCAAGCTCTCATCACCAACAATATTCTGCCCCTGCATATAAAGATTGCTTCTTGGTCTTTTGGTAAAATCAAGTGGTATATATGCATGTGTGCACATGCATGTATAAATGATAAAGAGGGGAGAACACTGGACAGCATTGAACACAAGTTATACTTATGGGCCTGCTGTTAGGTAAGGATGATAGGATAATAGCAGGTGTCGTGGAAAGGGCAAGTTCCTCAACCCCTACTTTGCTTCTGGCTTCTTGTCAAATGGTCCTAAGTGAAATAATTAACAAAAGGAAGGAACTGCAACCCAAAGTAAATAAAGATGGTTAGGGAGTACCTGTCTACTCTGACTAAATCTAAGACTCCAATCCCAGAATAGTAACATCCTAGAGTTTTGAAGGAGCTTGCCATTATTATTCTCCTTTTGGTAACCTTTTCTGTCATCACTGGAAATCATGGAGAATGGATGTAGTGCCAAAGACCAGAAAAGGTCAAATGTTCCTGTTTTCAAAAACAGTACAATTCTGGAACATATTATTAACAGAATAGTCTGTCTGTGAACATTTAGGAAACAGTGCATTGCTTGGCTGGAGCTAGCATAGATTTATGGAATAAATCATGACAGACCAACCTGATACCTTTTTTGATAGGATAACTAGTTTAGTTGACCCCAGGAATGTGGTGGACAGGGTTATCTTGACTTCAGTAAAGCTTTGAACAGTCTGTCATGAGATTCTAGTAAAGAAGATGACAGAAAGTAGGCTGGACCATTCTACTATTGGATGCATACAGAGCTGGTTGAACAATCATACTCAGTGAGTGCTTTCTAAGCTGTGGGGAAGTGTTGAGCAGTATGCTGTAGGGTTCTGTTCTAGGTCCTATGCTATTCAATATATTTAAAAATGACTTAGCTGAGGTTTTAGAAAATATAATTATCATGTTTGTAGGCAAGACAAAGATAAAGGAAATAACAGTCACCTTAGAGAACAGTACCAAGATTCGGGGGATATTGACAAGCTGAAATATTGGGCAAAGCCCAGCAAGATGAATTTCAACAGGGGCAAATGTGAAGTCCTGTCATTGGATAGGAAAAATCAAAAGCATGAGGATAGGATTAGGGGGACCATACTGGATAGGAGTACATTCAAAAAGAATCTGGTTGTCCTGATGGATTAGAAACTGAACCTGAGCAAGTAGTATGAGGCAGCTACAGAAAACTCAAATGCAATCCTAGGCTATATCAAAAGAAACACAACACTTCAAAAAAAGTAATTCCTCCTCTCTATTTTGTATCAGTTACCTAGAATATTATATTCCATTCTAGGCAGCGTATTTTAGCAAGATCATTGACAAACTGGAGCATAAATACTTGGAGGCATTTGGTATATTTAGCCTGGGGAAGGGAAGACAACGAGGAGACATGATAGCTGTTTTCAAGTAATTGAAGGCTGAATGTAGAAGATAAGGAGTGGGGGGCAGAATTGTTCTAAGTTGTTACAGAAGACAGGGCAATGGGTTTTAATTCAAAGGATGTAGCTTTCCTTTGGATATTAGGAAAACTTTCCTAATGGTAAGAGTTGTTTAGCAGTGGAACAAACTGCCAGGGCAGATGCTTCACTCTACTTTGCTGGATTGGCAGGAGGTATATAAGCTGAGCATGGATAGTCATCTGTTAGGGATGCAGATTCTGCACTGGGCGGGGGCTGGATTAGATCATCTCTAATACCTTTTCCACATTTTCTATTCAGAATCTTAATTCTATGTTATATATAAATTTTTGCGCATTATAGTTATGCACAAGCCCCTTCTCCAAGGAAACTGGGTTGGCTATAAGAAAAATGCCAAAAAAGCCAACTGAGTAACACAAATTAGCATACTAGTTTAAAGTTCTTCAGAACTCTTCATAGGTAAGATAACAATAAAGCAAAAGGCAGCTGGAGTTGAAGGAGAGGACTGACAGATATTTCAGCCAAATGTGCATTTTGTTACAGCGTTGGATGGAATGTGGGAAGAAACTGCAGACTTGCAAATTGTTCCTCATCAGGAGCCAAAGTAGCATCAGGTTGCATCAGGCTGTTGCATGGATTGCTGAGAAAATTAAATAAATAAAAAAGTTGATCCCCTGGGTTTGAAACTGTTAAATCCAGCTCTTATACTTGAACCTGTCTGAATTACAGATATTCCCATATGTAGATAGTCATACCAAAAATAGTTCAGCTGGAGGTTTTCTTAATGAAGTAGTTTCATTTATATATACTCTGCAGAAAAGGATATGTAATAAGGAATTGAGTCTTACTGTGTACACATATTAAACAAATAGAGGTTGATACTTCCATATAATTATGTTCTTCCTTAGCTTCAAAACTATTTCTGTTTGTCATTAGGTTATGTTATTTTAACAAGCTTTAGCTGCAATTCTTATATACTGTTCGGTGTCCCTAATTCTTCTGAAATCAGAATGAGTCATTCTTCTTACTGGCTTCTTCAGAGAACTGTAGCTTTATATTTAATCCTGCATTTACAAGATGAACTCCAATGTTAACTTCTTTCTCCCTACCAAAAAGACTTCACCTGTGCTTCATAGTATTTCACAGTACAGTTGAAAGTGGATGCTCCCATGTTTCTGCCAAGCTCCCTTCATAGCGTTGAGCATTAGATCCTAATCACTATAGGCAGTATATATTTGAATGGGGCCAAGCTGGATGTTGTGAATTCTTGAAAGAGCTGAAGAAAAAGATGGAGGACAAACCAAATATGCAGCTCATTGCAGGTTTCCCTTGATGTTAAGCAAACTCCTTGATAGTAAGCAAGTTCACCAGAATTCATACTGAAATAAGTAGCTATTATTCTAAACAAGCTAACAAGGGAATAAATCTAATGAATCCTTTATTAGAACTGCTTTTATCATGGTAAAATAAAATTCCTTAAAAGAAATCAAGAGAGTCCTGAAGCTTTATATAAGACATGAACTTTTTTATCTAAGCAAATTACTTATTTTTATTTTGCCATTTCTTTCAGCTGTGGAAGAAGCCATCTTCTAGAAAAAATATGCGAAGTTGACTTAGAGGCCTGTCAGCTGTTGATCCATGGGTTTCTGCTCAACAAAAATGGCTCTTCTGTTTCTGAGGGAGAAGAGAGCCAGACTGAGGAAATGGAGGGTATGGAAGATGCCTCTTTAACCCTGAAGTGGGAACATTCAAAATGCTTTTCAGTTAATAGCTCCAAGCACGGAGCTTTTCGACACCCACCTATTGGAAGCAAACAACAAAGCGCACACTGCGAACTGAAAGAGGTATCAAAAGTTTTGTTTATTTGTTTTGTTTTTCAGTTTGTTTCCACTGGTCATTCTTTTCAGTTTTGATGAGGCGTGTTCCACTTTGGCCTATAAGCTACCCAGCCTAGTAAAAAGTGAAATCTATTATTTATTGGAATCAGTAAGAAAGGGATACTTGATACATTAGAGTATGTTGGCTTTCATTGATTATCATAATGCCTGGAGTCATCCTTCTAGCATGTAACCACTATATACAGTATATAGTGAGCTACCTCAAGTGGGAGGTTATTTCTCTGTGTGATTTCTTCTTGCTTTGTAGCTCATGTTATCCTTTCAGATGACAGGGGCAAGAAAACCTAAGCAACTCTCAGTTCAGAATCAGCGTGAGATGCTTGAGGGGCATTCCAGATGCTTCCCTGCCAGCCATTAGGTTCAGCCTTCCCTGTAGTCAGCTCTCCTCCAGTCTTCCCTTCTCTGCCACCAAAGAGCTTCCCAGCTGCTCCCCCTCCCACAAATTCCTGGCAAATTCAATCTATAATTGAATCTTTGTCTTCTGAAGTTCCTTACTGGCAAGCCTTAAACTCTAATTTGGCCAAGCCATGAACCAGCCCTTCATGACACTTTTTGCTGCTGGCAAATTTGGGGGGAGGAGAAGAAGCAAGCAAGGCTGGCTTGAAATAGCCCAAGTTTATTTATGAGCCAATTAAAATTTTGTAAGTATTTTGGCTTGTACACAAAAAGGCTATTATTTCTGAAATGAAGGTATGTATTCTTCTGTGAAATACCCTGTTTCTTCTACACATTTTGACACTTGGCAACAACTACATCATTATTTTTGAGTCTTGAGCTTGCTTGGAATAAAAGTGTAAGTCTAACACAAGTAAAATCAGAGGGCTGCCTCTGTGGCTTTAAAAGTGAAAGTGCCAGTTCTGTTTCATCCTTTCAAGGTGTTTCTCCTTCAGAAGGAGAATGTCCATTTAAAAAAAATGTTAGAAATCTTTTCCACAGAAGTATCTAAGATATATATCAAAGTTATAATATAACAGGAGAGAAAAGGAAAGGAATGGTAGAGCCATTCAGTACCCATTTAAATTCAATCACAGGGATCTTTTACAATGGTTCAGGTACAACCCTCAGTGTATCAATATTCTTTACATATTAGTAATTCAGAGAAACAATTAGCTTCTCTCACCAGCCATCGTCTTTCCAAAATGTTTCCTGGGCAGTGGGAAGTGCCAAGGAAGAAGAATACCTATTGGCATATTAGATGAAGAATCACCATTTCTTCAGAAAAATGTCCAGTTTACTCAGTCATTTCAATACTTTTCCAATTAGTTGTCAATTTATCCATTAATGCCATAGCCCATGTCTATTCTATGTATGGAGTAATCTCCATCTCTGAGGTGAGCTAGAATGGCACAGATTAAGATGGGTTTGCTTGACCAGTGCATCAGGGTTGGCTTGAAGGTACAGATTGAGTTTTCCAACAGTGGATCTGATCTGTGCTTTCAAAGAAGACTCTCTCAGGTGCTGGCCAGTCCTTTGGGTGAAGAATGCTTTGAAAGTGCTGCTGGTTGCTCCAATCAGTGCTTTGTAAAATGAAAACTACAAGTTTGAGAAAGTGAGTCTTTGAATGGATCTGACATTGTTGTGCGTTTATCATTTATTTAAAAAGATGGAAAATTGTTAGCTCTTAGCTACCTCAGGTTGAGGAGAATAGGGAGAACCACAAGTTAAGGGTATTAAGGTTAAAAGAGTGTATTCAATATTGTCAGTGCATTGTAAGGCCAATTGCTCACTTTTCTTTCGTTAATGGAATCTTAGTCTTCCTTCAGCTATAATTATAACACAATAATACGGGTGAAAAGTTCTGAATTATTTTTGGAGATAACTCAATTTATTTTACCGAAGCTAGTCTTCAAATCTACTTGTTACTGGTAACTTACTGTCTTCCCCAAAATTAAATGAATACATAATCAATTATACATGTAGCTAATGCAAATGAACTCTGGATTGTATAATGGTGTCTAATTATATATTAGTGACTGCCTGAAATTTATGAGAAGGCAAGCCACAAATACATTAAGAATTTCTGATCTGTCTAATAAATTAAGTTCTGAATCAAATTTCAAATACTATTTTCAGCCTTTCAGCAAAACAGAGTTTGGCAGCTTGTATCAGGCTTTTTTCAGAAAGAAAAAACTCCCCAAACACTTAGACAAACATAGCTGGGAACTGAATTTTTGTTCTTTTATGGCAACAGCAGCCACACCATGCAGTTGTCAGCCTCTGAGAGGCAGGAGAGGCTGCCCAATCAGTCTTCAAATACTCTTTAATGATGCCACCTCCTGTACAGTGAAGTGGCTGACTTCTGTTTCTCACACCTCTTTATCCTGTATAGTGGAGATGGTTGCCTATTACATCCTCTGTTCTGCTGTGGTAATTCCAATAAGCTAGGCTGGGACTCTCCTTTCACTAATGGAGCCCTGATATCATAAGATGCACATGGGACATTTTCATCCATTAACTGCAGCTGTTGATATTGCCTGCTATTCTCAAAACTGCAACACTGGTGTTAATTATACTATTGTTCAAAACTTGGACTATATCCGTGAAACAAACACTTAGAGAGGTGCTCATCAGAGACATATATGTACTAAAATCTAATTACAGGATTAGTCTGGACAGGATGCAGCACTTCCTCTGCTTTCCAGACGTACCCAATAATTCAAGCATGCTTTTGTCCTTTTTTAAAAAGCACTTAAAAAAAAAAAAGCATTGTGATGCAGCTACAGCCACCCAACATTTTTAATTGCTAGGACAGTCCATAGAGTCTTCTTGGAAGTGAAGATGATGCTGGAAGCTGGTGCTTTATTTTACAGTATGGGTGTGCACGAAACATGGAAAATATTTTCTTTGAACCTGGAAGAAACCATTGTGTTCCAGAGATTCTGCCAAACTATTCTGGGTCAGCCACAGACCGTACAACTGAAACCCACAGTGCTTTGATTGTTCCAGGCTTCAGATGAAACCAAGTCCAGATGGACAAGTAGGATACACCTAGTGCAATTGCCCCTTCTTTCTCTTCCCCTCAGTAGTTCCCAGTGTGGCACATCCTACTGCCCCTCCCCCAGTTTTCCCAGCTTGTTCCTTCCTTCCCATCAACCATCCCCAATGTCCAGCATGGCACATCCCACTAATCTCCCTGCTCCCTCAATCTTTCTAGCACCTTCTCTCCCTTTCCTCCAATGTTGCCAGAGCTGTCAATACCTGTGGCCCAGTAAATATCTCCACCATCTTGCCTAGCCCCATGACCTTCTCAGGGCCTTCCTTGCCTTCCCTCCACCTCTGATACTGCTATCACTGCTGCCAGTGTAGCATATCCCATTGGCTTGCCTGCTGCTCACCCCCCATTCCCAGCACTTCCCTATTTCTCTCTCCCCTGCCATCCCAATGTCTGCGGCTTTTTTCCTGTTCTTCCCAAACCACTTCTGCCCCAGGTAAAAATAGCCCCATCCCCTTCTCTGCAGGGACCAACATACCCCAAACAGATGCATTTTGGTTCAGTCATAGACCAGTTGAAACCAAGCCTGGAATGTCTTGCACATTCCCACTCGATATCATGCCAGGTTCCTATTTTTCTTAAAATTATTTTAAAAAGTAAGATGGATTTGGGAGGCTTGCAGGTGTCAAGAAAAATTCTCGTGGACACAGTGGTGTCCATAAACACACTGTTGCATAGCTTGCTGTACATCAGTATGGAATTGCATAGAGTCACACAAACCCTCATGGACAAGAGGTTACTTGACCATATGTATTATATAACCATATGAGACAAGGAGGTTACTTGACCATATGATTATGTAAAATTCCATAGTGATCTATACTAGAAAATTATAGTGGCCATAGAATGATGTATGACTTCTTCATGCTTGAAAGCATTTCTAGGACAATTGCCTGAATGATTGGCTTGATCTCAGACTCCTGGACCAGGACTATTTTGACCATCTCTAGCAAATCAGTCCTGCTCAGTCTGAGACTTCAACATTATCCTTACTGTCCGGCCTTTGAGTTTTGTTTCAGATCTACCTACGTACCTACGTACCTACCTACCTACCTACCTACCTACCTACCTACCTACCTACCTACCACCCCACTATAACCCCACCATAATTAAAATGACTTCTGACAGCTTACAGTCTGTATAACCCAAAATTAAAATCTCCATAGTAACAATGACTATATCAGCCCCCACATAAAAATGTAAAAACACAAGAAACAGCCAAGAAAAAAAAAAACAGGAAAAAAAATCAGAAAATAAGATGGCATTAAGGAAAGGCCTTTCAAAACAACTCTGTTTTTAGCAGTTTCAGAAAAACCCACAAAGAGGGTACAGCCTTATCTCCGTTGGGAGGCGGTTCCAAAAGCAGTGCCTTCTAGCCTCAGCCTCCTGAACTTCTCAGAAATGTGGGATTACAAGCAGATCCTCCCTAGCTGTTCCAATGAGTCAGGCCCATACTGGTTGGAGCAGATGGTCCTGTAGGTATCCAAGTGCCAAGCCATAAAGTGCTTTATAGATCAATACCAGTACCTTAAATTATGCCTGGAAACTAATTGGTAAGCAGTGCAGGGGCTGCAGAATTGGTGTTAAATGTTCCTAGAGATGAGCACCAGCAAGCATGTAGGTGAACCAGTTGTGTTTCCAAGTAGTCTTTGAGGGCAAAAAAGGGTTGACGTACTGTACATAGAACTGAGGGTAATCAAATGGCATTTCATTTAGCAAAACCATATTTTACTGCTGGATTCTATTAGTGTTAATTCAGAAGTAAGTCCCAAGGTGTCCAGTGTGGCTAACTCCCTATTAAATATGCTTTCAGTTTTAGTCCTTGGAGCCATAAAATAAAGAGTGTGGTAAATAGTTAAGAGGACCACTTCCAAAAAGGAGAGAATCTAGTAGATTCAAGGGATAAACAGTGATCCTTCTAAGAAAACAAGTTCACAATCCTTTTTGCCTACTC